AAAAAATTCTACTCAACTTTTTTGCTTCTCTCTCATTTTCTACTTAGAGTAATTTTCAGATAATCTAATGCAAGTTATTAACTAACAATGAAACTGTTGCAATGTCTTTTTCCCCATCATATTTATGTAAGTAAATTGTAATACAAAATAATATAATTACGATGTGAACATCACTTACTATTACTAAAGGTAAATGAAACTCAGGTAATCGCCAATTTTTCAACTCTTATCATTATCCATCTTGACATGATTATCATCATGATTTCATAAAGTAAATATGAAGATATTTTTTTTTCTTTTTCGTTCAAGATAACATGGTGATTCAGTTAAATATATGTGAGGAGATAGTGAAAGGAAAAGGAAGAGAAAGAGAATGGAAGATGATGATAAAATAAATTTGGGAGTAAAGAGAAGAAGCAGAAAAAAATAGAAAAAAAAAGTTATCTCATTTTTCACAATCAACGATAATTATCATTAACTTTGCTGTTGTTCTGTTGCTCAGGTAAATAATGATTCAATAATGATTTCTGTTGTTACATAATGATGATTAGATAGATTAGTGAGTGACTTTACTCATGGAATCAGCAGGGTGGATATTATATATACTACATGAATTAATGGTGGGGAGGAAATTGATTGTTGCACATTTTGTGGTTACATGGTTATTCATTTGTCTTCCTTTTACTACACAACTTCACTCATCATCTCACTATTATCACCGGTATCACAATATTATCTGTACACTTTTCCATTTTGTCTTCATAAACCTCTTCATTTCTCAATTCTGAATCTTTTTTTTTACCGTTTTGTTGATAATCATGAAAAAAACTTACACCAAACAACATGGATGAGAAAATCTTATTACTAATCAATCTAGATTTACCAAGGTTAAAACCAGTTAATACTTAATGCGGGGTAAGTTGTTGCTCATCATCATCTTCATCATCATTATCTTCAAAATTTACTCAGTTTTCAGTTAGAATATCTCTCCCTTTAATCATCATCATCATAATCATCTCCCAGGATCGTCAAGGTTACATCAGTAAAAAGATAAAGGGAAAAGGATGAGAAACAACAAGAAGAAAAAATCAACAGCATGTTATAAGCTTACACACACACACAACGATTGAACATTAAAATTCAATATATTATATTAGCGTAAGAACTTTTTTCAGAACTTTTTTTGGTGGAAAACCTTGAATTACCCTTATCTAAATGGGTTATAAGGAAGTTACGATTTTCACCCAAGGTCTGTTGCTTTTTTCGTCTTCCTACTTAGCGGTTCTTGTTGCTATTGCAGTTTTTTTCTGATTGCTTCTTTTGCTGGTGTAGCAACAACAACAACAATTACTACTACATATTAAATTGCCATTGATTTGCTTGAGTGTATTCCTGTTGTTCACCGAGAGCTTGAAGTTTACCCACCATGATCATGGTTATGAACAGAACTTTTTTTTTGTTATCTTTTTTTCCCCAATTCTTCAAAGTAAAAGTTTCTCTCACTCTCTTTTCCATCTCTCTCCAGGTGAAAAGGAAAATCAGTAAAGCGACAATAATAGGCCAAAGAAGAAAGTAAAAAGAGAAAAGTAAATTAATTCATAGTTTAGTTTGATAGTTCTAGTGGTGAACAAAAAAAAAGAGCTGAAAAATAATCATATTAATATGATAATTCAATTGGATTGCGAAAAGAGCTTATTTACCGTTACTTTGTTACTACTTCCATTTCCTTGTTGATAATATTTTCCTTTTATGCTTCATATTTTTGCTATATAATTGAACATTCAAATACTGATATTTTATTGGTATTACAAGAATCGTTCCCATTTCAACATATGCATATATTATTATGGTCTTATTGATAATATTAATCAGACTCATTGGAAGACACATTGGTAACAGCAGAGCGAAAATTGAAAACAACAAAATGTCTCACAATTTTGCTGTTTCTTGTTTGCCTTTCTTTTACTTGCTATCATGATGATGATGATGATATATCAAAGATTAAGATGGATTAGTGGGAGTAAAAGTATTAGCATTATTAACATTGGAAATTGTGTTGTAATATGTTATTTGACTTCCGTAATAATAATGGTTGCAAATGCAATTTCATTTTCTGTATCTCTGTCTGTTTCCATCATCTTTCAATATTACATATCATCTCATTACAAATGATGATGATGATGATGATCGTATATACATTGTTACTGTTTCGAGGCATCAAAATGATAATAAAAAAAAGTAGGAAACGATCCTAAGCTTTTGGTAACAAGGAAGATGGAAGATGAAATTGTGATGAAAAATGAAGGATGAAAATTGTAAGAAGATAAAAAAAGGTATAACATTGTTATACTTTTTTATTGTTATTTGGTTGTAGATGATGAGGATGAGGATGAGGATGATAAGGTGATCATTTTAGTTGTTTCATTGAGAGGGTGGGAATGGTCTAAGTGGGAGTATTATGGTTTGAGTTGAGAACGAAAGTGAGAAGCTGAAGAAGAAAAAAAATAAATATAATCTTGAAAATAGAGAGGAAACAAAAATGATGAAGATGATGTTGGAAATGGTGGAAAACTGAGTAAAGATTCATGAATGTTCAGATTGATTTTATTGGAGAGAAAATGAATCAAACTGAATCATGTGTTTCTCTCTTGCTATTTTTTTTCTTCTTCTTTCAATTGAAAATGGAGATGAAGATGAAGATAAAAGAGATGCATCATTTACGTTGGATATTCAATGATGATGATGATGATAATTGTGATTCTTTTTGCTTTGTGTTACCAAATGAAGCTGAATGATGATGATCAGTTTTGTAGGATGAAGATGAAAAGATAATCATATAAAAAGCAATTTTCTTTTTACGGAAGTGGTCATTTTCTGTAGCTGTTGCCAATCAACAATTTCAGGGGATTCAGAGTAAAGTGTTTGAAACAAGCTGAGAAATTAATGTTTCTCTTTTGGATTGGAGAAGACAAATGATGATGATGAGAAATAAAAAGAACAAGAATGGTGATGAGAGTATTATTGCTTCTTTAGGATGGCGAAGACAAGGTGAATGTGATGCTAACGACAATCATTAGAAGCGATGATAGGAAAGAATTTTTTTTTCTTCTATTCGATTTTCATTCTTATAAATGTATCTATCTGTCTTTGTTGAATATTCCAGAAGCTATTTGATATGTTCACAGGCTACAGGTTCTCTGTGGCTATTTTGTTTCTTGTTGCTATCGAATGAGATGATAAGAAAATGACAGAAAATGCTAAGAATTACTGAGAACAAGGAATAAAAAATAGCACAAATTGCATTCGAATGCAATGAAAAGAATAATAACAAATAATAGAATATCTTGTGGACCAATTTGGAACAAGACTAAAAGATGAACGAAGAAGATAATATGATGGTCATCATCACGATGGAAGAAAATATTGATAAAGATTCAATATAATGATAAACATATGATAGAGAAAAAGAAGAGAATATATTGAAACATTTACTATTCTCTCTTCTTCTTCCATGATCATTACCATTTTCTTTTTTCTCTCAGATTTTCATCTTCATCTTCTTCTTCTTTCATGGAGATAACATATTGATAGATTCGGTTTTATGTGATCATTTTGTTTCCAGTTTCAATCTTCATCTTATTCCATCCTCATCATCACCATCATCATCATCATCTTCTTCTTCTTCTTTTTCTTATTTCGATTCTTTTTTTCTTCCTTCCGTTTGTATTACATTTGTTTTCGAAAAAAAAACTTATTCCTTTTTTTCTTCTACCTAATGTCCTTTGGGTCTCGTTACTATCAGAACATAGAGACTCAAATGACTGTATCTTCTTCCATCTTCTTTTATCTTCCTTTTCCTCATCATCACTACCATCATCATTTTCATTCCTTTTTTTTTGTTTTCGAATTCGATTCATTTTATTTCTTTCCTCTTTTCTTCATATTCTCTTAGCTCATCAATAGTGTTGATAATAAGATGAAAGAAGATCTCGATTCTGAGAAATTCGATTGGAATGGAAATTCCTAGTTTCTTCATTACTCATTCAAGGATAATTATCTCTTTTTATTGGTCAGTTTGTTAATGAATGGATAACCAGGGATCGAAAGTAATTAGTCAATTTGAGAGAAGGAGGTTGCACTTTTTTTCTGTCACCATTATGATTAAGAATATAATCTCATGAATATTATCATAATCAACCATCATTGTGATGATTGAAATTGAATTTGCTCATTGGGAAGAGGTGAAGGTAATCAATGACTAGGAAAGTCTCCTTACTCTTTGGTTTAATAGACTTGACACTCAATAGAAAATCAATCAATCATAAATGAAGATAAAATTGATTCTAATAATCATTTGTAAACTAATCCATTGATCAATTTTCAATGTAATTTGATTGAAGGGCAACTGATCATTATCATGAGTTATCATGAATTCTCAAACATGACGGAAAAAAGAGATGAATGAGAAGATGGAAAAGAATAAGCAAAACAGTGAAGTTTTCATCCACCGACATGTTGGACATTAAAAGAATGACCAATCAACGATTGATTTTCGCTACCTAGTATTGAGCTAATGGTCACTTTCAATGGATCGTCATGAAAAAAGATGCAACGAAATTCAGCCAATTTAGCTTCGCTTTCAGAGTCAGAATCATTTCCTTTGGAATCAATAACTAATCACAATATCCTAGATATGATTCCTTTTCATTGTCTTCCACATCATCTTCATCATTCTCATCTTTTTGTTATTGTTTTTATTATTAATACATAACAATTTCTTTTATTTGAATCCATTTTATACGCACAATTTAAATTTACAATTTCTTTTTATTAACTTTTCCCAATCTCGCCATTTTCATCCACCGTCATTATCATTGAATCAATATTTTGGCTTTCGAATGAGGTAGAAATCAAAGTAAAGGTTAGAATTGAGACTTTTTTGAAGCGATGTTTCTGATAACTACTACGATGGGAGAAAATGTAAATAAATGTATGAGCAATTTGAGTGTTTGGTTTGTTTATATTTTTGTTTGAAAAAAAAGTTTTCGAAAACGAGATGATAACTAAAAACGTTGAGAGACAAAAAAATAACTGAATGTATAATATAATATATAATGAAAAAATCTATTGAGTTTGTTGGGTGAACAGAAAAACGAAAGAAGATAAAAGTTAAAAGAAAGAGAAATGATGATGATATAAAAACAAAAGAGAGGGAGAGAAAGGAGAAGACAAAAGAAAGGTGAGAAAATCTCTTTTTTTCTGTGATGTAATTAAATTGTGGTGATGATAATGGTGCTTGTTGTTTGTTGTATTTAACTGGAGAGTGAGGGAGAGCGAGAGAGAGAAGACAAAGAGAAAGAATTGGGAATAATATTAATAGTTCGGAAAAGGCAAAATGTGACAGGAAGATAGAGAGAGAGAGAGAGAGAGAGAGAGAGAGAGAGAGAGAGAGAGAGAGAGAGAGAGAGTGTGTGTGTGTATGAGAGATAAAGAAGGGGATGGTCATCAAGATGCTAATGGTCACTTCCTTTTTTTCACCTTTAGTTGATTTTCTTTTGTTTTTCTTTTTATTTGTTTGGCCGATGCACAATAAGATTAATCAACGAATCGAGTGCAAGCCTTTTTCCACTTGCATTGAGTACACCAAGAGTCTCGATTGTCCATACCATAAACTTTTCGACACTTTCGAGTCTCGGTTCGGGTTCGACGGGTCGGCGATATGCTTGACCCCTTAAGGAGGGTCGTTGCAATCCCTGTGGTTGATGGAGATGAAGTGGATGAAGATAATGATGAGGCCGATAATGAGGTTGAACTTGATTGTAATAAGCTTGTCCATTGGTTACTAGAAGCGTTGTTATTGGCATTGGTAGTTGTATTTGTACTCAGGGTTGGGTTGTTGTTACTTGATGAGATGATACTAGTAACGGTGTTACTGTTTGTCTTATTGGTACCGCTAATTGTTATGGTTCCGGTTAATGTTGGGTTGGTGTTATTTCCCGATGACTTGATGTTTATTGGGCTTGAAGTGTTACTACTCAATCGCATAACTTTGGAAGGAGCTTTTGGCGAGAAAAAGTTCACTGGACTTGAACTTGAGGTGATAAAAGATGCTTGAGATTGGTTATGGTGATGGTTATTATGAATGTGTTGATTGAGATGATGATGGTGGTGATGATGTGAATTTGAAAAAGAGTAGCTAGAATTGCAACTAGCATTTGATGAAGATGCTGATGATGAGTCAATAACTTTTGTTGACCAACGATGGGCAACCGATATACCGGGAATGTTGATCGGGCTTGATATCACTGTCTTCCTTTCCGGTTCCGGTTTAAATTGGGCACTGATAAAAGTTTGCGTCACAGATGATGATGGTTTAAGTTGTTGTTGATGGTTAAAGTTTTGCACTTGTTGGTTTTGTATTTGAATTTGTTGCTGTTGTTGTTGTTGTTGCAATTGTAACTGTAATTGTAATTGTTTTTGTTGCGCTTGATATTCAGGATCCTCGTGTGGAGGTCGTGCCATATCAAGATGACTCCAAGTGGGTGAGGGAGCAAAGAAAAGGAGGGAGGAGGCCGAACTGAGTGTCGGACTTAAATTGTAATTTGTACTGTGAGGTGACTCTGATGAACTCGAGACTGGAGACAATGGCCCCAGGCTACTATCATTAGAAGATGAACTATCTTTACAGCTAATATTGTCATCGATTTCCATTTCCTCTTCAATTTCGGCGTAATAAAATTCCTCCTCATGATCATTTTCCTCTTCACTGGCGTTTTCACTTCGTCTAAAAAATCATAAGGAAGAGAGGGAGAGAGAAAATTATTAATTAATTAGTTAATTACTTGGAACATGATCATTATCATCGACAATGATTTAATCGAAAATTAAATTTTCGGCAAAAAGATCGTTAAACTTACCCAAGATGGACAGTTCTAATATGTTTTTCGATTGATTCGACAAGATCACATCGAAGGCCACATCCACGCCATGTACATTTGAACACAATTCTTCGAGCCTTCTAATTAGATTAAAGCAAAAGAATGCACGATAAGTATAAACTTTCTAATTCTAATTACAATTAATTCCTCTAATTAATGATTATGATGAGCAATTAGATGAGAAGTTACAACTAATCCCATTGGGAAAAAAGTAAAAATAAATCTAAGACAATGAGCTTAATAGATTAAATTAATACATTTATAAACATTATCATCGTCATGCTGATCATCATGATGATACATTTGTGAAATACAATATGATAAAAATTCATATTTAGATCATGATACTTGGCATGGTAAATGAATACTACATCAATATAATTGAATACGAAATAAATATAACAAAATACTAATAAGAAACTAAAGAAGAAGATAAAAGTTGATTGTTGGTAGAAATCAAATAAAAGTCTGATTGATTCTAACAGAATAGACAAAGAACAAGTGAGAGAGAGAGAGAAAGAAATATCTTCTCTGTCTAAATCATCATTAACATCTTCTTCTTCCTGTTCATCTTCATCCTTCTTTCAGTCATCTTACCTCAGCAATTGTTTGTATTGGATCATCAATAATAAAATCAATTGTTTCATCCATATCGATTCCTTCATCCTTATGAATAATAGTTAATCCATTAATTTGATTATTATTAACATTCGAATCATTATTATTTATATTTCCTTTAATAGTTTCAACATGGTTATTGTTAATCTCGATGGCAATTGGCGAAGCGGCAGTGGATCGCTCTTCGTTAATCGTCGGTGGTGACGGTGTATTTGATCGGCTGGCAGCAGATCCAAACTCGACACCAGAATCGATGCTTTTCACCGAGACTGAGTAAATTCCTGATAAAGAGAAAAAAACAAAAATAATAAAATCAAATTTTCATTTCAAAGTCGAAATATGAAAGAGAAAAGAAAGCAGAGAGAGAGAGAGAGAGAGAGAGAGAGAGAGAGAGAGAGAGAGAGAAACAAAAATATCAATAACAATAAACAGCAACATGATAATTACTTGTAACAATTATAATTAATCAATTAATTAATAGTTGAGCTTAAATACAGACATCAAATTGCATTGATTATCATTTTAACCGTACAGAACCGATTTAAATTGCTAAATTTACAAATTAATCACTAAATGCAATGATGGAGAGAAAGAGGTTTAGTTAGATTACGCAATTAGTAGCAAATAAGCAATAATTGAAATTGTAAGCAAAAAGCGATGCAAATACAAACATAAACTCACTCACACACACATACAATTTGTAATGCAATATCAATTATTAAGCTCATTATTATATCAACCATGCATTTGAGTAATGTAATTAGTTATATGCACTTTTCATGAGTGCATATAATAAACATATCTGATGAAAGATGATACAATCATTGATGTGATCATTGATTTTTAGGATTTGGATGATTACCAAAGCAAACGGAATAGCAAAGAGATGAAGAAGAAAAAAAGTAAAAGATGAAAAGTCAAACAATGTATTAAGAATCATGATGATGATGATCAATTTTTGTTCTTCTATCATTTTTCTTTACATGGAGAAACTTTTCCATCATTAGAAATATTCTTGACCATTAGAGTATTATTGAAGAGAATTAAATGAATAGTGGACACAAAGAGAGAGAATTAAAGAGGGTGGGCAGTTAGATAATAACAAGGTGCATGAAAAAGATTATATTAAAAAAGAGAAATAGAAAAGGAGAGAAAGAGAGAGAGAGAGAGAGAAATAATAAGAGGCGACTTTTTTTCCATGGTGTTTTTCCAATGAAAACAATGAAAAAAAATCCATAATTACATTCACAAGTAATCAAGAAAACCAGAAAGAGAGAAAAGAAAGAAAATGATGATGATGATTATGGTGATGATGATGAAAACTCCCAAAGGAAGAGAGAAATTATAAAAAGAGAAAAAAACAAAAACAACATCACTCATAACTATTTCCTTTTTATCATCTCTTTCCCTTTACTTTCATCTCTCTTTTTCTTTCTTTCTTCTGTCTCTCTGTCCCTCCACCTCTCTCTCTCTCTCTCTTTCCCTATCTGTCTCTGTCTTTCTCTCGTTTGCAAACCTGAGATGAGGAACAGAACAGCTTCATTGTAATCTGACCTGAGGCAAGAATTGAAACAGTTTAAGGGCTGGTTGATCCTTAATTATGTTTGTTATTACAATGAGGTACAACACACACCCATAAACACAATGCGAGAGAGAGAGAGAAAGAGAGAGAGGAAGTAAGAAGACCTTCATATCTCCTTTCTCTTTCTCTCTTTTCTTGCCAACCTTCAACAAGAAATGAAAATGAAAGTTGATTAGCAAAATGACCTTGTTTACCCACACAATCAACGCTTATAACGTTTTTAAAGTTCCAAAACGTTACTACGTTAACTTTTTTCTTCTTTTTTTGCATTTATGTCATTTTCTTTATTCATCTCGTTCCATCGCACTAACTTAATCTCTCTCTCTCTCTCCCTTTTATCATTCAAAATTTGCCTTTTCCCTCATTTTTTATCTTTATCTTTTTATCCTTATAATATTTTATGCTAAACTTTTTCTTCTTCTTCTTCTATCAATTTGAAAATGGTCAAAAAATGTTTGAAATTGATGAAATCCTTGAGATGTGAAGGTAACCTGCTTGTACAACTTACAGGGTGTTGAGAAAATTTAGGCGAAAATAGGGAAATTAGTGGCTCCCCCTTTCTTTTTCTAATGTTAATCTATCAAAAGCGACCACTAAAAATCAATTGTTATCGCATCAACAGAAAAGGGAAAAAGTTATTCACCCCCATTGCCGATTCTTAAATTTTCGCAACACTCTTTATATATTTCGCTTTCTGTATGTATATAAATCTCTCTCTCTCTCTCTCAAGAGCCGCTTCGCTATCACAGTTAATGGTTGTTAGTTTAGCTTTTAATTCAGGTTACTGTTAAATAAGAAAAAAAGTAGTTACTTTGATTACAGGTAAGGTAAAAATTCCGGTTATTCGGTTGAATGTAGAAAAGGAGATAGAAGAAGAAAAAATCAACTGAACTGAATAAAGCTTAACTGAACTGAACAGAAAACTTTCATGTGAGTGAGAGTCGGAAAGAGAGAGAAAAACAAAAGTAACGTTAGAAAAAAGAAAGAGTAAAAAGAAAGAGAGATAGCACAAGAAAGAGAAAAAAAAGTCGATTAATGTTATATATTAATTTGCAAAACTTTTCAACTGAACACACGATTAATATCAATAATAATGATACTTTATCATTATCATTATACTATTATACCATTGAAACAACAATAGTCGAGAGTTGGAGAGAGATAGAGAGAGAGAGAAAAGAAGAAAAAAATTTCTGAAACAATTTAAAAAAGAAAATGTAATTAACTCAAGTAATCGTAATGGTGTTTATCATTAGTGAATTTGTATTGTAATAATTGAGAAATTGAATTGAGCTTTTTTTTCTCTTTTTTCAAAGAATTTGGAATTTTTCTTACCTCTATCAGGAATGAAAGTAGATTTAGGAGAACATGAAAGACTCATGAGTACCATGGCAGCCATACAATCATCCATAACTGGATCATCTCCATCTTCGAGACTGTTACTTGGACGTCGTTTTCGTCCTTTTCGTAATTCAATGGTCACCGGCGACATTTTGTTTATTCCAAGGTTCCAATTAGTTACTTTGTTATCTTTTTCTTGGTTGATTTTCCTCACTAATCAATGATCACCCAAAACAAACAGTTCCAGAGGATTATGATGATAATCAATATTGAGATTAAGTGATGATGATGAGAGAACGATGATCGTCAAATGAATAATCACAAGAACATTTTTTAAATTTAAATTGAGTTTTTTTTGTTTTCTTTTATTCGACTTTTCCAATTGGATTCCTAATGGTTCCTTTTTTTTGCTTTGATTGATTCTTTTTGATTCTGTCAATTCTTGTTTCTTTCTTGTTGATGTAGTTCCTCTTCCGTCAACAGGATTCCCTTTTTGTTGTTACTCTTTATTATTAGTTGACTTCTGGTATCGGTTGTTGATTTTCTGTTGTTGTTTTTTCACCGAGATTTTATTCACCGGTAGTCACACACATAACAAGGCATTAAAATACAAATAAATTGGACTTGATGTTTGATGTGTGAGTGAGTTGATCATGATTATCATGGTAATGAAGGTTTCATGTTACCGCAATTGCAAGTTTCATGATGTAAACAGTTTTGTCAAAATGTGGGAGGAGGAAGGGGAGGAGAGAGAGAGAGAGAGAAGGAGAGAAGGGGAGAAGAGAATAAAAAAAAGTTATAAATTAGTGAGTGAGAGAGAGAGAGAGAAAAAGAGAGAAGAGAAAAGCAATAGAAAGGAAAAAGTGAAATAACAGAAAACCAACAGTAAAGAATTTTCTTTGTTTACACTTTTTTCTTTCATTTTGACAGTGAAGAAGAGAAAGAGGAGAAAAAGAGAGAAAGAGGAAAAGAAAGAGAAAAGAGAACATGTTCTTCTCTCGGGAGAAGAAAAACTTACCGTTTTCTTCTCTTTGTTTCGTTTTTCTCTTTAAACGATTGATGATAATGATCACTAGTTCCAAATGATAATAAGAAGATGATATTGAGCTTTTGAAAGTCAACCTTTTTTTCAACGAATCACAAAAAAGAAACAAAAGTGTCGACAGTTAACAAGGAGAAGAAAAAACAATAATTAAGTACAATCAATTTGCGGCGTTAACACAAGTAAACACTAACTACGACGAGAGAAAAAAGTTGAATCAATTGTTGAGATAAACACTGAGAGAGAATGAAATTGATGATTGGATTAAATTTACTTGAAAGATTGCGAATTAAAATGATGAGGCAAACAATTTGTTGCGAGAGGAAGGAAAGTAATTAAAAGAAACACTCTTTATGTAGAAAAGGTAAAGATTTTGACGTTTTGATGTTACGATCTGTTTGAGTTGAATGTTGTTGTTGTTTCTCTTGGTATCAAGTGTTAATGGTTTGCACCAGAAAAGAGAGAGAGAGAGAAACTGAGAGAGAGGGAGAGAGAAAAAGAAGAGAAAAAACTGGTTTACTTTTCGTCGTTACTGGTTCCCTTGTTTTCTCTCTCTTTTCTCTACTTGGAATTAAAAATTATCTCTACTTATAAGAAAATTTATATATTTATATTTGTATAAATATATAACATTAAAAGAAATTTTTTCTATTTCTTTTTCTCTCTCTGTTGTCAAGAGACTGGTGATGATGATGGTGATATAAGACTCCAAATCTGATGGTGAAGATGAAGATGAAAGCACCAGAAAGAAAGGAAAAATTATTCTAATATGACAGGAAGAAGATTGTAGGTCAAGCTTTTTTTATATTTAAAGACTTGAGAGAGAGAGAGTGAAGGATAAATGTTGGTGATGGCGGAAAATCTGGTTATGTTGTTGTTGATGATTGAGCTTTTTCTCCTTTTTATCTTTCCATCTCTTACTTGCTTTTTTATTTTCTCTCTCTCTCACTCTTGGGTGTTGATGGTAAACCGGTGATGTTTATCTGCTGTTGTTGTTGTTGTTGTTGTTTCTGTTTTAATGAAACAAGTTGATTAAGAGAGAGTTAATTTAGTTCACCAGATTAATATAATATTTAGATTCTTTTTCTTTCTATTTGTTTTCTCTAAAATTCAACAAGAAAAAAACGATGTTCACAAAATAGAAAGTATCTTTTACGGATATATACAATTTAGATAGATATTGTTGATTGATTATTGATAAATATCAAAGAAAAAGTAATAAGATGTAGACACTTAAAGGAAAAAAAAATGAGGCAGAAAATGAGACAAGATAAGATGTTGTTGTTGTTGGTTGATGAGAGAAGGTAAAAAAAGCTTCTGGGTGATGGTGATTATGATGATGATGAGATGAATTTGTGAAGATGATTTTATAAGCAAGTAAAAAGAAGAGAAATTAGAAGAGAAGAGAAAAAAAACCAGAGAATTTTGTTTGTTTGTTTGTTGTTCAGTTGAACGTAAAAATTAATAGAAAATGAAGGTTTCTCATTAACTATTATGTTGAAGGTGTTGATGATAATCTTGGTGATTCTGATGGTTTTACCGTTGATGTGGTGGTTGTGGTTGTTGTTGATGTTGATGATGATGATGAGGATGTTGATGTTAACTGTTCCAGATGAGAAATAAAACTAAACATTGTTAACCAAATAAGGAATTTATTTATATATATTTGAGAATTAGGAGAAAATGTTGTTGTTGTTGTTGTTGTCTTTTCTTTTTGTATTCTGTACCTTCAAGAACGAGAAAATAATCTGAAGAGAGAAAGATGAAGACGAAAAAGAGAATGAGAGAGGCTAAAGTAAAAAAGAAAGTTCAAAGGAGAAGAAAATAATCGAAGTCAGAAAAAAATTAAATCGACTGAGAAAAAATCGATGACTCGAAATTAGTCGAAAAAAGCTGAAAATCCGATGACAAAATGAATCGAATATCTATTAATTTATTAGCTAATTGAATAGAAAAATTTCATCAAACTCAAATTGTAATTCCGGTTTTTGACTCAGTCGACTCTTATTTAGTTCAGTCGACTTTAGTCGACCGCCATGATTTTTCGTCAGTTACTTGGCTAAAACTGACTGATATCAATAATTTCGGAAATTTCCATGTTCCATCTAGCGAACACCGAAAAAACCAAAGTACCGGTTACATTTTTTTTCTTTTCGTTTTTATCCATCGAACCGGAATTTTGATTCTCTTTTGTTTTTTATTTCCAACATTTCGAACGTTTCGATTTTCTCTTTCTCTTTTTCTTCCAAATTCCATGTTCTCAGAGAATTTTCTCTCTCAGTTTTGAATTTTCTGTTCTGGATTCCTTTAGTTATCTCTCTTGAACTTTATTTCTATTGCTCGATTTTTCTGTCATCTCTTATGAGCTAATCAACAATCAATTTAATTGTTGATAATTTTTTTTTTCGTTTAATTTGATCATCAACCAGGAAGCTGAACGTCATTATTATTATTATTATTACTGTTATCATGTATCTGGGCTCATCATCATGATGGATCAGCAATTAAAATATTGATTGTAAACCTTGTTAATTGTATTCAATTGTAATAATATAATTTAAAACCGGAATTCAAATTTTCTGTTAATTTTTTGTTTCTCTACCTCATCTAATCAATAACATATATCAATATAATACACAAATTGTAAACAATTAACCCTCACCCTATTAGGATAACAATAGGAAATTAAATCTAGTGAAACAATTAACTTTTGGGTTGTTAATTAATTGTTTAACATCGGAAATGTTTATATAATCATTTCCATATAATATCAATCATATTTAAATTTGATTCTCATTTTTTAATGGTGATAACAATTGAATCTTTTCATTATTGTCCATTGGTATTGTCCATTTAATGGTCATCATGTCATTTACAATGCAACATGATGATAATGATAATAAGATTTGAACATTGAATTTACAATTTATGAACTTTTTTTCCTTGTGTAGTATTGAAATCAAATTGAGATTTATTATCATTCATGAAAAAGTGAGACAATTTATTGATTGTGATGGTGATTAAATGGGAGGAAACAATTTAATTTACTGGATATTAATTTTCAAAATGGTGACAATATGGATTAGATTTGAAATGTATTCATGATGATGATAATATCATCAAGTTGAAAATAAGTTAACTCAACATTAACTTGATTCAATTACAGTCTATTAACAATGATGATGATGATATTTTGTCACTTTTAGTTCAAACTAAGAGTAGGTGGGAGGTAGATGATGGTGATGATGAAGACAGTTTCAGAACTTTTTTTTAACTTTATCAATGACAAGTTAAATCAGTGATGACGATGATGATGATAACTGAATCTCCTGAAAACGTTGAACCATGAAGATGAATATTATTTGAAATGAAAAGTTTCATATCAAATGATTGGCAAATCAGGTTGATCATATAAACATGATAATAAAAGTTTCAAGAAATATTTCAATTCATATATATGATACACAGGATTTACAACTCATGGGATAAGTAAGATGATGGTGAAGATGATGATGATGATGATAAATCTGTATATATATGTAACTTGAACATGTTCATTCAATATACATTTATAATGTATTAGCATTCAAACCCTGTGATATTTTATGTATGTGTTTCTTTGGATTGAGATTCAGTTGTTGAGGATAAAAGTGTAACATAATAAATGCCCTTAGGTGATAATCATTTCGTTTCCATTTCATAAATAAAATGTTGGATGTTGATGATAATGATAACATGAGAAAGATGAGCACGATGATCAGTAGGAAGAGGAAAAGGAAGACAAGAAAAACTGAGTTTTATTTCCGTTGATAAGCATGAACCTTTTTCTCTGTAACTATTTAGAGATGATTATGATGATTATGATGGTGATGATGATTGTCACGGAGCCTGAGGTTCAGAGGATGATAAACAGATGATGATGATGATTATTATAATAATAATGATGGTGATGACCTGTAACATAATTTTCATCCTCATCCTTTTCATACAGATGAATGATCTTGCATATTTTTATATCCATCATGAGGATGAAGATGATGAAACAAATCAACAATGTTACCAATATAACGATTATCAGCCAATTAAATGATAATATTTACTGTTAATTAACATCAATAGATAACTAATATTACACAGAACTGTTGATAATTATAAGGATGAGTGAGGGGGAAAAGGTAGTTTCTCATTTGCAAACTAAATCAAGTTAATCATGTAAAGTGAATCAAATTAAATAAATTGCATTGGAACAGAAATCAATTGATTGCTGATACTTCAAAGTATCTCTCATGGGATAAATATATTGCATTTTTTTCTGATGATCATTTGATTTTGCAAAAAGAGAAACAATTGCAACAATTTTCTTTTTTAGAGAATTTTTTTTTTCTCTACTTGCAAGTGGAAAATATTCTCATTGCAATTTAATGCCCTCGGGGTAGAAAACTTGTTCCACCATCTTGATTTTATCTTCTTCTTCTCTCTTACCTTTTGCTAATCCAAAATGATTAGACATTTAATGCATCATATTACCTTCTTCCTTTCTCTCTCGATCATCTTTATTTCTCATCTTGTTTCTTTATCCTCAAGGTTACCTTTTCCTCTTTGTTTCACTTTTTCCTCCTGAAGATTCAGCTGAATACCCTGAAGCTTTAGGAATAAGCTCTCTCTCTCTCTCTCTCTCTCTCTCTCTCTCTCTCTTTGCTCTCTTCCTCTATTCACAAAACCACTTACCAATACTTACAGCGAATGAAAAATAATCTTGTTATCATCATTATCCTCATCTTCACCCTCTTCCTATTTCCATTGACAATAATTCATGATGATGATTATCATGAATATGAACAGAAGGAGAGAGAGAATCCAAACTAATTCATTTCATCATATGGTAACTTTGGTAAAATTACTTTCGTTTGATTAGGTCGAGAATATTTTTTGAAAGAAAAGAAAATGAAAAGTTTTGATTTGATTCATGAGATTCATGAGATATTATCATGAACATTATTTGTACAGTTATTTTTTACTACTCCCTTGTGAAGTATTATTAATATTTAAAAAAAAACTTTTCTCTTTTTCTTCAGATTCTTTTGAATTCCATGGGAAAAGCATGAAGATTCAGAATTTGGAAAAGGAGAAGAAGCATACAGAGAGATGGGAGACAAGGAGAAAAAATCAAGAGGGAAAGAGAGAGAGAGAGAAATGAAAAAAGTTCTTTTTTTTCATTGAAAAAATAATAATCATCATGATATCATGATAAAAATTATTGGTCCATTAAATTTGCTTCTCTAAGCAATGATACACTTGGAAACAAATTACATTGGTTTGGTTTCTGTTCATCATCATGTTCAGGGTTCATGTTGATTTTTTTACCCTCTACCTCAATTATTGTTCACCAATTCAATAGCATCATGAACCTCACCCTCTTCCTCCTCATTACTCATAATTATATATCCATGATACTGATTAACCTTTTTTTCATTCACCCATATACACATTTGAATAGTTACTTGAAATATTACAATTCAACAATCGGGTCATTTAATGTTAAAATTGGATATCATTTACTTTGGACTTTAATTGTTGATATATTATAGTAATTAAGTTAAATTTGCAATTCAAGGATTTGATTTAATTGCAATTGATCAACTTACAATCTCTTTCACATGTAACTTTAATTTACTTTGCTGTTTTTTTTTGCCATAACAATAATGATACACAACAATTACATTTACATTTGAACAATTAAATTTAATTACACTCTATGGAGTCTTTTAAACAATTGATTCTTCCTGATGATATTTAATTTATGTGATTAAATTGTGTTGACTTTTTAAATTGTTTCATCGATTGTGTTTACCCTGATTATTATTACCACCATCATCATTATTTACATGATTAAATTTGATTGTTGCAAATTTTGAGTTGAAGCAATCAAATCAACTAAACAATTAATAGTTTTATGGTTGACTAATCTTGACTTTTGATTGTTAATTAAGTTTTTTATTGATTGTTTCAGATTAAGATGATGATGATGATTATAAATAGATTGAAATAATTTGTGAGATTACCACAATTTAGCTTAATTGTTGATTAGGTTTATCGGTCATTGATTCATGCTAACCGGTTAAATCAACACCGGTACCAAAAGAGTTAATTGTTAGACAATCATTTAATTGTCTTTGTTTAATTTGAATCAATCACAGTGACAGTTAATTGTTCAAGATTAATGAGCACCTTTGATTATTTGATTCACCTTTTTAAACACTCAACTTGGTTGATTAACTAATCAATTGTTGCTGTTGTTATTTCCCTTTTTTGATTATCTGTTGATGATGTAAATTGATAATCATGACAATTAACACAACAATCAAAACAATCAAAGTGAAAACAACTGATAAATTACGTGAATGACAATAAAAACATTTTATCAACAATTAAAAAGGAAAAAGCTTCTAATTACCTCATGATGATGATTTACTTTAATTTGTTGATCTGATTTCAATTCGCTTCTAATCAAATTAACTAATTGTTAGACAACTGATTTGAATCGTTCATTTGTATACAACCAAATGATCATGACATTGATATTTTCTTGTTGCTAATTGTGAATATCAAACAATCAATCAATTTAACATATTGATTTAAGGTGAATTAAGAATGAACAATAAACTAATAGTTAGTTGATTAACCTTTAGAAACATAATGGAAACAATTAAATGTCAAGATTGAGCAAAAAAACCCAAAGAAAAAACCAGAAAATCAAGTTGATTAAAAACTTTGAATTTCTTGTAA